TTTTTTTTTTTTTTTTTTTTTTGCCCTAGAATGTGTAGGGTGAGCAGCAAGATTGGAGACAATACTGAGTTCATTCAGGAAGTGTATTTGAAGTATCAGGCATTTACTTGGAGTAGAGAGCTGGAAGTTTGAATCTGAACCTCAGAAGAGATACATATAGTGAAGAGAGATGGCATTTAAGTAGTGGTTGTCATCTAATCATGAAATTAGATGACAGAGAATGTGTATTAAAAGAGGGTGTGTGGGCTGAGATGATCAAAGTAGCAAATATCTCTGAGAAACACAGCTCATTCACAATAAAGAATTGAGTAGAAGAATAAGAGGAAACTAGAATTCGTAAAAAAGACCAAAGAGGAAGAAGCAAAAACAGAACTTATAGTCATGGAATTTGGAGAAGGGAATGGTCTATAGTATCAATTTCTACAAGGAAGTACAAATATTAGGTGAAATAAAATGTCTCCTTTGGATTTTGCAATAGAAAAATTATTTTTGATACTAGCAAGGGAGTTTCAGGGAATTTCCAAGAGCAGTGGAAAGAGGGATTAATGGAAAGTGACGAATTGGAATGACAATTAGAAATGACTCTTGTAAAAAGCAGTGAAGGAAGTGATAAAGACACAATGGCTAACTAGAGAGAAAGAATTCCCAGACCCCTCTTCCACAGCTGTTGTAATATCTGTGCATAGTCACTTTTTTTGAAAGCATGGTGTTGCCCTGCACATGCAGATTAGCTGTTTCTCATCAGATGGAAAGATCATTGAAGACAAGGATTGCATTTTACCTGGTCATGACTCTCTCTCAAGTCCATCAAGTACCTTGTAAATGCTCATGAAATTAGTGACAAGTGAAGAAGGATGAAAAACTGAGGATATATATTCTTCAATAACTGAAAGAAAAGAGCTCATAGAGAGAAAGAGGCTCCAAATTACTAAAGAAAAAACTAACAAAGCAGTTATTGACTAACTGATTTGCCTGTAGGCTGGAATCCAAATCATCCTCAGAAGTTTTTATTTTTGAGCAAAAAGATTTCTCTCCCCTTCTCTGAAACAGAGGGAAAGGAGGTGAAGATGAACTTCCATGTGAATTAAATGTGTAGATGAGAGACAAGGAAACTGAGGCAATTCATTCTGGACAACCTTGCTTTCCTTAATGATATAGGAGGAATTTATTAGGCGGCTAATAAATGTCAGGCACATACATTTCCTAATATCGATTCCTTCATGAATCTAAGTTCATAAGACAGACCTGTCTTTAGTTTTTTCTTCTTTCTCTTGCTTTTTTCTTTTCTTTTCATTTTTGTATAATGTTTGTCAGATTTTGATGTCAGAATTATCCTGGATTCATAAAATCGATTTGATTGCCTTCCATATTTTTTTCTGTGTTCTGGAACAAATTATATAGAATTGAGTTTACTAGTTCCTTTAAAGTTTCAAATAATTCACTAGTAAAACAACCCCTGGAGAATTTGGAGTAATTTTTTGAAATGTTTTTCATTATGTCTACAGTTGTTATTCAATTCAGATTTTTCTAATTTTTATAAAATTTTATTGCTAGTTTATATTTTTCATGAATGTCTTCCATTTCACAAGTTTTACACATGTATGAGCATTACATAGGGTCTTACATTGCAAACTCTTATACATTTCACTGTATTTGCTTTTAGTACCCTTTCTCTAATTTTATTTATTTTCTCTTTTTTCCTAATCAGAAATTCTAAATACATTTACTTTCATTTTATTGCCAGTAATCTCTGAGTTCATTAATTCTCTTTTTCCTGATTTTAGCCCATTACATTTTTCTTTTTAAATATTATTTCATTTTTGTTTTATTCTTAGTTAATTTGTTTTATTGTTTTGGAATTCTTGTTTAATAATGTGCTTGTGTAAAGTCATGATGTTCCCTCTGAATGAGTGCTTTTACCATTGACTTCTCTGAACTGCTTTCTGTTATGTTGTTTTTTCCAGATAAGTCTTTGATCATCCTTTTATTTTTCTTTGTATTTTATGTCCTTGTAGCTGTTGTGAGTACCATAGAGTTGAATTACTCTAACCTACTAGGAAAAGATTTATATGTGGGCTTAACTAGTTAATTTTGAGAGTCACAAATGTTTGGTCTTTTTTGTTTGTTTGTTATTGTTATTACTCTTCATGCTTTATTAACATTTATTTTTTCCTATGTTAGGTGATCTGTTTTGCTTTCGTTTTCCCATAGATATGAAAGTTTATTGCAATCTTTAAACATTTGTGAACATTGGTGTTTAACCCTAATTTTTTTAGAATTGCTTTAAATTCTAATTGTTGTAATTACAAAAAGTTGAACCTGTATTTTCTCTTCTTACAAAGATAAATAGTAAAATAATTGTAAAGCAAAGAAAGGAGAGAGGAAACCTCCACTAGTTAGGAGACATTTATTTATTCAAGATCATGGGAAAAGAAGTAGTCTATTTTCATTACAACTTTTTCTTTTACTCATTTTAACAAACATATATACACGACCAGAAAAACTCCACATCATGTACAATTGCAAGAATAGGATTTTAATTAGAAGTTAAGTTAGACTCCGTGTGTATATAAAATCTAAAAATACATTCCACTGTCATGTATACCTAAAAAGAACAAATAAAAAAAATTAACTTTGTAATTCTGTTAGAGAAAAGGGCAGTAAAAGAAAAAGAACAATATAAAAATTTTCTTTCTCATTTCTAATGTGAAATTTGGTGATTTTCTTATGTTCACCAATACCATTAGTTACCATGGAAATAAAATTCAGCATTATATACCAGGGTTCCTTTTTTTAACTGGATTATATTTTTATGCTATGTATAAATTTCTAAGAATATTTTCTTTGAATTTAATAATATTATATTTATAAAACAAATATAAGGAATTTTACTTACTACTTAAAGCTACTTTTCTCGTACTTAAATTTAATTAACAATCTCTACCACTGAATAATTTTTAGTAAGTTTCTCAGGAAGAATATACAATATTTCAATATTTCCTGATCTCTTCTATAGATTATAGTAATCTTTCTGTTACCTTCATATGGAACTCTTGAATCATTTGGCTCACAATATTATGTGCCTTATTTATTTTCTTCCATTTTGCAAGGAACTAGTCTAATTGTTATTTTGTTTTCCTTAACGATTCCGTGCTGGATATTGTCTCTGGCAGAGGGCATCCATTCCCCACTACCTTTGGTATCCTTGTATCACAGGGTCTAGGCAGGGTACTACATTTCTCAGAATCTCTTGCCAGCAGAACTCTGGATAAAGTTTGGGTTCCACAAGGAAAAGGCAGTCACATGAGATTTTGAAGGAAAAATTATTTTATTTCCTTGGACACTGGTGACATACTTCAGCTTTGACAACTGAGTTCTTGCAATGTTCTTCATTATCTCCTGCCATTCACCTGCCTTAGGGCCACAGAGCAGTTGTGAAGTCAGCAGTAGTTTCCTACAGGCAGAAATTACTTCAAAAATTTAGATTTCTTGGCAGATAATTTTATTATAGAATTACAAATTGTGTAACTCTGCTATAAAATCGTCCCACAGATCTCTTCTTACCAGAGGATTATGATGTGTCCTTCCTCAATCGTAGCTACAGAAACAGGACAACATTTTATTATATTATTTATTTTATTATATCTCCTTGCCAGAATAAATGTGGGAAAGGGATCATTTCATGCTAAGCAGCATCTTTTTGTCACACATCCACAATTCACCCTTAATGTCCAATTTGGACCATCCCATGCTGAGAATCTTCTCCTCACTGCTTACTTCAATCCCCCTCCTCTTTACCTGATCCTCTGTGACTAGGACATTTTGGGTAGTGCATTGTTAGTTGCGGTTCTCCAGAAAAAAACAGAACTAATAAGATAAATGTTTTCTTTACTTTCTTATTCCCTTATCATGTAGCATAGTACATGTTGACTTTTTATTAGTATTTAAATATTAGTATTTAAATACATCATCATATTAAAGTTATGGGAATAAAAGTAAATATCACTCAAGTACTTTACTTCCTCTTCTGGGGAAGGGATTAGTTAGTACATCTTGGTTGTATGCAGGATAGTTGTTTTATGTTAGGTAACATTTTGACCTTGTTTTGGGGGATAAAGTTATAGTTTAGAAGATATGTATGGGTTAAAATACATATTAATATGATTGTAATTTTTTTATCAGCTTGACTTGGCTAAATGATGCACAGATAGCTGTCAGATACTATCTGAAGTTGTATTTGTGTATTTCCAAAAGAGATTACCATTGGAATTAATAAAAATTGCCTTCACCTATATGGATGGCCATCATACAATCTGTTCTGTGCCTGATTAGAACAGAAAGGGTGGAGGAAGGATGAATTGTGGGTTTGAGGTAGAAGTTTTATCGTTTTCTGTCCCAGGACATCAGCATTATTCTATAGTTTGAGCCTATGGATTCAGACTGAGTTATACTATTGGCTTTCCTGGTTGTTCAGCTTTAAAATGGCAGATCATGAGACCACTTGGCCTCCATAATTGCATAAACCAATATGTTTGTGTGTGTGTGTGTGTATTCATACATATACATATATTCATATCTATGTCAATAGAAATGTAAATAATCATAAAGATACAGTATTAAATAATAACCACATAAGATTAACTGTAGCCTATACTGTACTGATATAATAATTCCATAGCCACGTCCTATTGCTATGGCAATGAGAGCAGAAGTTATGAGTATCTAAAATGCTGTCTGCTGGAAACTACTCATCTCTGTATGGAAATTCATCTCTCCAGTAAATTTGATATTGCAGTAAAAAGTGATCTCTTGTGATTCACATATGTTTTTCACCATATTTAATACATATAAAATACAAAATATGTGTTAACTAACTATGTTTCTGGTGAAACTTCTGGTCAATATCAGCCTATTAAGTTTTTGAGGAGTCAAAAGTTGTGTAATTTTTCAACTGCACAGCGAAGAAGACGAGTCAGCACCCCTGACCCTCATGTTGTCCAAGGATCATGTGTAGTTATTTGTGGATGATAGTAGCGTCTGTCTCAAAAATCCTAAAGTCACATGTTGCAATTAACATACAGGAACCTGCAAAAGTCACTAAACAACTTTTCTATCTGCATTGCTATTTCAAATATCACTGGATCTTCCCCAATCTTATGTCTCAAGTGGGTGAACAGCTTGCACAGCATCCTGGACTTTTGAAACCTTCTCTTGCTTTGGGCACCACTCAAAACTAATAGATTTTTATGATAGTCTATAACAGTACTCTAGTCACACATCCACATAAGGAATGTTTGCCTAATCCCTGTAGGCCCAGAAGAAGTTGTGGTTTTTCCCTAGTTATTGGAGGTCCAGATGCAAGAACTTACCTTTTTCCTTAGAAGTGGTATCTCAACATGCTCCATACCACTGGAACCCTTGAGATTTCACTAAGGTAGAAGGACATTGAATTTTATTTGTATTTATTTTCCACCCTCTGTCATACAAAAATCTTGCCAATTACTGGAGAGTAATTCTTACTTCTAGCTCACTAAATCCAATTTGCACAAAGTCACTAATGTGATGGACTAATGTGATATTTTATGGAAGGGAAAGATGATCTAGGTACACATGAACTAAATTATGAGTTAGGGCAGGCATATTTAATATACCTCTAGCTAGGCTGGTGAAGGTGTATTTTTTGCCTTTTCTGCTGAAAGTTAATTACTTGATGGAGGGACTTGTGAACAGGTAGAGACAAAAATACACTTGTCAAATCAAAAACTGCAACCAAGGTGACAAGATATATGTTAAATTTTCTCAAACAAGAAAACTACATCTCTTACAATAGCTACAAATGTAGTTACCACACTACCACACAGTTAAGTTTACAATAGTCCACTCACACTCTCCCAGATTCATCTATCTGGGACAAATAGGAGAGATGTTTGAGGATGTGGAGGGAATCCTTACCCAATATCTTGATCTCACCAATCTCTGCGGTCCCTGGAGGAGTACAGTATTGCTTTTGACTTAATGCTTTTCTAGGTAATACCAATGACTTTCTCTTGGCTTTCCTACTACGACAGCCCTCACTCCACAGTGGATTAGGGGACAAATGTTGAGATTTTACCAACTATAAGTACTTCAATTCCAATTACAGGGTTTGGAGATGGGGAAATAACCAAAGGGTAGGTTCATGGACCCACTGGACCCATCGTGAGATGAACCTGAGGTAAAACTCCATTCATCGCCTGAACTCAACAAACTCATTCTTTGAGCAGAGGTTCACAGTGACATTTTGTGTCTTCTGGAATCAGTGTCAACTTGGGGCTACTGAATAGTAGTCCCTGAAAGGCCTTATTGTTTACTTTTTCCTAGTATATGACTGCCCTAGTAAAAAGATAAAAGTTCCTATGGGGAAACCTGGGAAAAAATATAAAGAATATAAATTTGGGGTAGTGTCTGTGGGTCCTACCTTGAGGGGACACACCCTCCCCTTTGTTCAAGGGTTTCTACATCTATAAACTTGTTAAAGTCTGGAAACTGATTCAGGGGCTGCAACGTTCTGTCTTTGTGATTTAAGTTAGATTTAGGTTCACTTGACTTATGATATTTCTGTTTACACAGATCCAGTAAAAATTGAGGAGGATTCTTTATGAGTCAGCTTTGCATCATCGTGACCAAAATATGGAACAAGAACAACTTAAATGAGGGAAAGTTGATTTTGGCTTGCTCTTCCAGAGGTTTACTCCATGATGGTTGGAAACCACTGCTCTGAGCCCAAGGTGAGGCAGAACATCATGGTGGAAGGGTATGGTGGAAGAGTGCTGTTCCATTCAGAACAACCAGGAAGCAGAAAGGAAGGGGAGAGGTAAACAGGGAACATGAAACCTTCTAAGGCACAAGAGAAGTGACCCATCTCCTTCAGTCCTGCCCCACCTGTCTACAGTAATCATTGACATCTTTCAAACTATAATGGACTGATTAGGTTACAGTTCTTATAATCAAGTCATTTTACCTCCAAACTTTTCTGTATCAACACAGGGAACTTTGGGGGAATACCTGCTATGTAAACCATAACAGTTGCCTATCTATTTCACTTTGAGGAACACATTCACCATAGTGAATGCTATAGGTGTGTGTGAGTCAGACTATTCTGGTCATGATTTAGGCCTTGCCATTTATTTCAATGAATATGCCCACCTTGACTTTGTAGTTGAGTGATGCCATGTGGCCTCAGCCACCCCAGGATTCTACTATTTCCATTGTATTTAGGTTTTGCAATTGGACTGCTGTAGTTCTCACTCATAGGCCTGGCATACAGAGAAGAGAAATCATGGAGCTGTACAAGACTGGTGAAGTACCCTTCACAAATTTATTTCTCAAAGTAGTTTCGAAAGTTACGTCTTCTACATTCTCCCACTGTGGGTGAGTGGTCTTAAATTCACTCTAACATCCCAATTTCCCTAAGCCTTTGAATGTCTTCCTCTGAAAATCCTGTAGACATATTAAAAACATTGATTAAACTGTATGTGTTAAATGCATGAACATTATCATAGATAAAATATATAAAAAATGCCGTTTTGTAAAAAAAACAAAGATTAAAAATCAAATTTTTTCCCTCTTAGCATTTCAATAAAGAGCTGCAGATGTGCTTATGCCAAGTACTTTTTCCAAATCTATCCATATATTTATTATTCACTACTGCTTTGGCAGAGGCCTGACCCTTTCTTCCAGACAACTGGCATAATTACCAGAAAATGTTCAAAAAACATTATTTCTCAGGCAGTTGATGATAGATGACATTTTGTGCCTGCTAAGTGATTTACTTGGGTCAATAAAAAATGGGCAAAAATGTAAGTTGTAATAAATTCCATGTACAAAGGTTGAAAGGTACGGATGTATGGTTTAAGTGGACAGATGTATATGTAAAGAGGAAAGGTATCACCACAGATATAAAAGGATGGCTGCTAGAGTTGATTATCATTGGTACACAACCTAGGATTCAAGAAAAGATGGGTGGAAACTTCTCTTTGATCTCTGTAGCCAGTATGCTCTGCTTCTGGAGTCACATTTTCAGTCAACTAGGTGCTACCCATGTTTCATCATTAGCATTTACAACTTTCAAAAATTAAAAAGATTAACCATTATGTCTAGAGTGCTTTTTAAATTTCCATATTTTAGATTTGTTGTAAATATTTTGTTAGGTTAGTGAATGCAAAAAAAATAAAAGAACAAAGGAAAAAAAAGTCAGAAAAAGATAATTGCCTTTGCAGTTTATTAGTCAACTACTTGTATTTTTTTTTCCCGATCCTGGGGTTCAAAGTCAGGGACTCTCCTACGCTAGACAAGTACTTTACCCACAAGTTACACTCCCAGCTCTTACCTGACTTTATGACTTTGGCCACTTTCATAATCAGGATATTCCACGAGCTCCATGTTTACATCTACCCACTCCCAGCAAAAATTTCTGTTCACTTTCAGGACATTTACATTCAGACTAGAGAGACATTTCCAGGAAAAACATCTTCCAAAGTACTTGATTTGAATTTAACCATTGAAAAATGGCTAAATTGAAATTTTCAAAATACTTAATCTCTCTATTCTACTGAATATCTTATACCTCACTCTATATTAGAGTTGATCAGGAAGAGAATCGCTTCAAAAATAATTTTTAAAAATATTCTGTGCTTGGGGATATAGCTCAATAGTAGAACTCAGCCCAGTATGTATGAAGTCCTGGATTCAATCCCCACTACCACAAATTAAAAAAAAAAAAAAAAACAAAACCTCAAGATATTCTGTTGTTGGCCAGAATCTAATATCATATTCAAGATAGGAAAAATTTTGAGCAATTATTTCAGAATGCACAGAAACTTCAGTTTTAATAAGAAATGAAGACTCCTGGATAAGACTGTCTTGGTTTTTCCACAAATCTTTGTTGCTGTTTTAGGTTGCTGTTAAATAAATGTTAAAATTTTGAAATAGTAACACATAGCAAGAGAGACTCTTCTTGGTCTGGGACTCATCGAGAGTCTTATGAAACCTTGGCAGTGCTGGTGTAAGGCCAGGCATGCTTCTGCCAGGCCAAGATCCCACCTGGAAAGATGCTTTCTGTTTCTGCAGGTCATTGCCCTTTTCCTCTACAGCAGCAGAAAAGGAACAGCTCCAAGGAATAGCTCAAAAATAGAGCCCAGCATTGAACATAATTGACTCATATCAGGATTGTGATGTCCTCTTCTAAAAGGCACACAGATGGAAGAAATACAGGACACAGTTATTCATAATGAGTGCCAAGAATGTCTGATGGCTTGGTCTCACATTTTATATTATTTAACTTCTTATTAAATCAATGAAGAATATGTGTATAATGAAAAGTAAAATAACTTATGTATTTTTTCCATCATCTCAAATATGGAACACCTATAAAAATGTATAGCATGTACATATAATTATATTACATATGATCATATAATAATAAAAGAATATGATTATATATTAATTAGTGTTAATATTATTTGTAATACAATGCTCTGGATTATGATTTTCAACCTATTTTAGTGAACTTTTGTCAGATTCATTGATATATTTGCAAGATTGCTATCTTATACTTACTGGGTTAAGCACTTTGCAAGACTTCTTTACATTGAACTTCCCTACACCCTATGAAGAGTATTTCTGCCCAATATGAGTTCCCACTGTGGCCCTGAATGAGGAGATAGGGAGTGAAATAAGAATAAATATCTTTCTAGTTGCTTTACGTAGAGCTCATTAAATTGCCACAACACACCTATAAGAAAAATAACTATTATTAAGTATTATTAACTATTATTATTAAGTATCCCCATGAAAACCTGCACTACAGAGAGGATAAATAATGTGTTCAAGTTTACCTCTTGGAAACATCTGGGACAGAAGTCAAGCTATCCCTGCTCTACCTGTTTGCAACATGAGGAGGATAAAGTAGAAAATTTGATTTCTTTCTCACAAAGAAGAGGTTACTAAGGCTCAGATGGGATAGGCAGAAGGGAAATGAAGAGTAAACAGAAAATTCTAGAGTCGGTTCCTAGAGAAATGTGATAAAACTCAGAGACTGGCAACTTAGTGAACTAAGGGTTTTGAGGAGAACAGTGTTTTTTGTTTGTAGACAGGATGAAGAGTGGCGCCCTGATTGAAATGGAGTGCAAAAGTCCTATGAGGAAGGAAAAAAATTGACACTGGCTTGACCCTCAAGTATATTTTGAGCATATTCTATTTCTCCTTATTAAAAGAAATTCAATTTGATAGATGAATAGAGGAAGGGAGGGGTAGGGAGAGTGTTTCAAAGAGTAAGGTTAAAGCCATCACAGCTTGACAGCAATCTTAAAAGTCAAAAAGTATGCTAGAATGGCAGGTATTTGAAACTCACTGTTAGAAACAATTTTATTTTAAACACATGTGCTTTCTTAATGATACTGCTAGCTTGGTGGCTGTGCAGCCCGCCTTCTGCAGGAAGTGCTGATTTGCTTAATTCTATTAAGCCTGTAAGAAAGGTAAATCTGTCTCCTGAATTTAAAGGGCCTCTGCTCCAAAGTAAGTTTGACATTGGCCAATAATCACCCTGACATTCCTGTGGCTTTGGCTGCTGTCAAAGCAGCTGAATGGCACCAAGAGAAGAGGCTGAGTGAAAAGACTGGGTTATAGCACAGGCTCATCCTGTCAGTGCCAAGAAAGGTTGTTATTCTTAAAGTAGCACCAGTAGAGATGATGCCCATTGTGTGCCACCAGGGTGGCTGCCCTTGGGGTGAGCATTGGGAAAGTTCTTAAAACCAATAGCAGTAGAAGGAATGGCATGCTGCCTAAAGCATTCCTGAATTAAAGGAGTGCATTGTGAGAGTGGTCTTTGAAAACTGCATGGTTCACAAAGGTGGACTGTGCAAGCTAGCATACCTGAAGAGTCAGGATTATATTTTGAACACCATTTTATCTCCAAATAAATCTTATAATCTACCGACTGTATGGCCTCATACTTTATAAATGGTCCTTAAATATCTGATGCCATTAGAATCTTGCTTCTATAATGGGTGATCATGTTAATTTGTATGGCATAATCTTGTTTTATCTAATGATCTTTTGGTCCTATTCAGTTGGCATATGTCCAAATATTAAGATTTTATTCAATATTTACTATTAATAGTTATGTAAAAAAATCAGGATAGTTCTTCTACACCTTTCCTTTATTTTTAGTTCCTGTCATTTTCTTACTTGTATATGCATCTCATATACATCTTCCTGTGTATATGAGCTGCATATACACGGGAAGATGATCAACAATAGCATATTTCTTTGTCCTTTTAATTTTTGTTTCTTTCCAGGTTCAAGGAGAATGGGCAAGGCACTCAGGCATGAGCAGCTAATTCCTTCTGTCTTGGTGATGGTGAAAGAAGCATTAGGTTCTGATCCCCATTGGCCACTCATGTGAAAATCAGTGCAATTTCTGCCATGGGGCATGAAACATTCACAATACTACTCAGATCCTAGTAGAAAGGGTCATTAAGAAACATGGGAAAATATTGCTATGGACACATAGCATATATGTAGAAAATGGAGAATGAACATTGTAGTCTAAAATATATAGCAGAGTATTCAAGTGTTCTTGCTAAGGTGATATTATCACCTACCAATTATAGATTTGTAGCTGTTTATCGTACTATTTGGTAACATGCTTTGAATTTTGCAATAAATTCTTCTTTCTTTAATGAACTAAAAAAATAAAAGTACCATGTTTATTTTATTTATTTTAAAGTGTACTTTGTTTTTATGCATCATGAAGGCCAGAGCTATAAAACACACCAGACCAAAACTTTGGCAGCAACAACTTCAAAAGTTATTATTTTAGAAAGACAATTCCAAAAAGACAATTTTACATATGCAATCACAGAAGGTGAGTCTATGTATCATTCTTTTAAGCATGAGTTTTCATTTAGATAATTGACTGCTGGTTTAAGTTAACTTTGCCCATTTCAATTCCAGGTTATTTTGTGCATGCATTGGGCAGGAAGCAATAGTAGAAAATGTGGTTTCATTAGTGGTAGAACTCCTTAAGCTTAAAGGATGTCCGTTTTGTATCAGCAGATGCTTCAAATTGAAAATCAGTTAATTCTAATAATGGGTTTTTTCCCTTTTGAGGTTGCTGGAATCAAAATAAAGTTTTGAAATTCATTCTCTCAAAGTGAAACATCTGAGATCATTATGAATTTGAAAGGGCAACATTGAAGTATTTGTTTTGTGGGAATAATATGAATAGACATCTTGGTGGAGCACATCATTATGCCTAACAATGTTGTCACTAAATTTAGAAATGTATGGAGGAGTAATATATTTGGAAATGATTGTGCTATACACATAATTCATAATTTCATCCAAACAAGCTGAATATTCTACCAATTGAAATAAAAGCTACAGTTGCCAAAATCCATAAATATTTTTCTGTCTATGCAATTGGAGTTACTAAACTTTTGTGACAAATCTAATATTGCATTAGAAATATCTTCAGCTTGATAGTATACTTTGTCCTTACAGCCTCTTATCAGTAAGATTTAAGAATGTTTGATATTTTGGGGGCTGGAGTTGTGGCTCAGTGGTACAGCACTTGTCTAGCATGTTTGAGGTACTGGGTTCGATCCTCAGCACCACATAAAAATTAATAATCAAAATAAAGGTATTGTATTCATCTACAACTAAAAATGTTTTTTTTAAAAGAATGTTTAACCTTTTGAATAATTATCAATCAACCTTAATGATACCCACATCTGAATGTGTGAGTTCTTTAAAGTTTGGTTGTATTTCGTACAAAATTGACCGGGAATTTTTAAACCCAATTATTGAACAAATGATGTGTCAAGAAAAATAACTTCTGGTTGAAGCTTTCAAATCACTGAAAATAATCTTTTGGAAACAGGAAGTATTTCTCTACAAAAGCAAGGAGGAGCTGAATAAACTGCAGAATGAGATCACAGACTACAGAAAATTTAGTTTTGGAATTATGTAACATCTTTGGAACAACTGACATGTAGGAAGAATTTGTTGTTCTATCTCCTATTTTTAATTGGATGATTACATTCTGTATTAGAACAGAATAAAATTAAGAAAGGCTACAATATTGTAGCATCTAAATTTGGTGAAACTTTTGGGAAAATTGTAGATGGAGAATAACTTATTTGACACATGTTGTCTTACAAAAATATTTGTTGAAGGAAGCTACTCTAAAAAGTTGCAGAAGAGGCAGTGCCTGTAAAAATATTTGGACTGAAACATTTATGCATTTTAATATAAAGTAAGTTGGAATTAAGAATAAATCTCATTTAGAAGAATTTATTTGGAGATAACCAGCTTCCTCAACACATTGAAAGAGAACATTTCCTTGCTTCCTTTACAAAAAAAGTATCTACTGAGATATTTGTGATTTCAAAAAATTTTAACATATAATTCTAATTTAAAATATTACAGACAATTTTAAGAAAAAATAAAAAAGGTGAGGCCATATTTCAAAAACCACAGTCTTCTGGTTTTGGACATGGTATTAGAGACAGACTCAGCTAAGGAAGTGAGTAAAGTACACAAATATGTGCCAATAATATTCCTTCTGCTTATGTTATTTTCTGATAGCCTGTATAATTAATATAGTCTTTCAGGCTGCTTTAATGCATACAAATAAGCTACTCCTATCTTTAAGAAAGAATGTTGATTTTAAAGTAAGTTTTGATAAAATTTTATAGATTCAAGAATATAAATATACAAAACTTCAATTAATAATCTTTTCAAACACTAAATAAAATAAATATGCATCTAATTATTTTTAGTGTTGCTTTTCACTCTCAAAATGTCTTCCATTTGGATATTTTATGATCATCCTCTTTTGGGGCATCCAGACTCCACATTGTAGAGACTGAGCAAAAGCTGTAACTTTTCTTCTAGAGATGCTAATCCTTATTGCGAATCAACATTCAAATTAATCTTCTTGAAGAGATATTATGGCCACGGAGTCATTTCTAGAACTCCCAGAGAAAAAGAGGAACCACCTTAAGCCAAGTTTTATCATGAGAAATTCAGTGACCGTGACATTGTGATAGAGGCACATTCATCATTGGAAATGTAACTGTTGGTTGGTGTGAACTGCAGGTGGCTGTTAAATGTGGTTGGATAAAATTTATGAGGTGGTATTTCTCTACTTCCTGTTCATTTTATTTAATTTTTTTAGGACAGGTCACCAGTGGCCCAGCTTCTGTCTTTTGGCGAATACAGTAGAGTTCAAAATGGCAGAGAAATTACAGCGCTGTTGGGCGATGATATAGTGGTGGGCATGGGGGTAATGAATTAAAGTCTGAGATTTTTTTTTCTTACTGTATCAGATTACATATGACTTCACAGGATTTAAAGACTACTTATTCTTTGGTGGCTTTGTGAGTTTACCAGAGTAAGATGACTTTTTCATTTGCACAAGAAATGGAGGAAAACAAATTTATTCTACATAGTAAAGAGCAAACACAGATTTAGGACTTAAAAGAGCCCACCACAGCCCTTCCCTGTGCCTGGTAGATCTAGTGTATCTCCCACTCCTACTTGCCATGTTGCCTTCGTAAACACAGTCCCACTTCAAACTCATTGGAGGATGCCATCTTTACTTCTATCTCTAGATTTTGCACAGTTACCACTTCATTTCCAGCT